GTGAAAAGGGGGAAAGGCATTCTCAAGAAGGGACTGGCCCATGCAAAGACACAGAGGTGGGACAGTGAATATCTCATCCAGAAACCTGCCAGCGAGCGGCTGGTGTGAGCCCAAGTCAAGAGGGACATCGTGTGAGTAGAGAACAGGAGGTAGGCGGAGGCCAGACCACAAGGGGTACTTGGGGGCAAGGAGCATGACTCCATCCTAGGTACGTGGAGAACCCAGAGAGAGCAATTAAACTAAGGAGCGGCATGATTCAATTTGTATCTCAGAAAGATCCATCTAAATAGATAATAAGAACTATCCAACTAGTTCTGTTATTTGATGGGCAAATCTGTTTGAGGGAATCTAGTCAAAGGAAATAATCCCCAAAGAAAACAAAGGCCATTTGTCTGAAGATGTTTCCAGCAGCACTATTTATCATAATGACAAAATGGCCAAAGTCCACGTGGCCAACTCTGGATGAATGGGGCATGATCCACACCCTCAAGGTGCTCTCATAGGAAGGAGAGAGAAATAAACATACTGTCAGTACAGGGGGGACAGTAGTGGCTTGTGCCTGGAGAGACAGGTGAAGGGCTGTGGCGGTTTAGTGATGAGAAAGCTTAGCTGGGGAGATCCAGGGAAGGCACCCTGGAAGAGGTGCCGTTTAAGCTGGGAGGTAGAATAAGGCCCTAAAGAGAAACAAGGCGAGGGAGTGTATTTTAGACAAGGGGATTCATCACACCTTGTGCAAAGTCAAGGAGACTGCAAAATCCCAAATATACACGGGGAGCTGTGTGTGGTTCAGTGTGCCAGGGGTTTTCAGCCTTAACTCTGCTTTAAAACATATAATGACAGGACATTATGCCACTACAGGCATTCCTAACTTTAGAGAAAAACAGAAATTTAGCCAGTAATTAAAACACTACAATCATTCATATTCATCACAACTTCTAATGGTATGTGAGCAACATGAGCTCATTACAGGCTGGGGCACAGGTAAGGTGGGAGGCCAGTGATGTAAAATCTTAGGTGTGACTCTTACCCCTTTCTCTCTCACGCAGGAAAGCACATCAGCTGGCCACCAGCAAGAATGAGATGATTAGAGGGAAAACCTGAACCTGCCCTGACTGGTACTCAGAGTTTCCCCCAAATGGCCAAGAAGCACATGAAGAGATGCTCAACATCATTGGTCATTCAGGAAATACAAATCAAAACCACAGTGAGATACCACTTCATACCCACTAAGATGGCTGTAATCTGAAAAGTAGAAAATAACAAGTGTTGGCAAGGACATGAAAAAATTGGAACCCTTGTACACTGCTGGTGGGAATGTGAAATGGTTCAGCCACTGGGGAGAATAGTTTAGGAGTTCCCCACAATTTAAGCATGGAATTATGATATAATCCCGCAATTCCACTGCTAGGTATACAACTGAAATAATTGAAAACAAGTACTCAAATCCATGTACCCAAATGTCATAAAAGCACTAATCATAATAGTCAAAAGGAGGAAACAGCCCAAAAGTCTCCATCAATGGAAGAATGGATAAACAAATTGCGGTAAACAACGGACTATTATCTGGCCATAAAAAAGTGAAGTCCTAATACATGCTCCAACATGGATGAACCTCAGAAACATTATGCTAAGTGAAAGAAATCAGATGCAAAAGGTCACATATTGTATGATTCCATTTATATGAAATATCCAAGACAGGCAAATCCATAGAGACAGCAGTTTCGTGGTTGCCACAGGCTGGTGGAGTGGGGATGGGGGGAATGGGGAGGGACTGCTTGATGGGAATGAAGCTTTCTTTGGAGTGATGAAAAGGTTTTGGAACTAGAGATGATGGCTGCACAACACTGAAAATGTACTAAATGCCACTGAATTGTCATTATGAAAATGGCTAGTTTTATGTTACGTGAATTTCACCTCGATTTAAAAAAGTAAATCAAGATATCCAAATGTCCAATACATATACGAAAAGGTAATCGACTTAATAATCAGGAAAACATACATTAAGATGACAGTAAGATTCTAACGTGCACCCATTAGAACTGCTGGAGTTAAGCCCACTGACAACACCAAGTGCTGGGGAGGAGGTGAAGAAACAGAGGCTCTCCTACCAGCTTGACGGCCGTGAGCCCTGGCACAACCATAGCGGAAGCCGTGCTGCCATTGTTCATTTGGAGGGCCTGCCTGCCCTGTCGGCCAGCACCGCACTTCCACGTGTACAACCAACGGAAATGTGTGCACACGTGCACAAAGAGACGTGGACAAACAGCATGTCAGAGACACGCTACAATATTAGCCCCAAATGGAAACCACCCAAATGTCATTGGAAAAAAATGGATAAATAATGGACAGTAAGTTAATACAGTGGGATACTGTACAGAAAGGAAGATGAATTAACTACAGTGAAATGCAACAGCATAAATGAATCTCAAAACTTAATATTCAGGGAAAGAAGCCAAACACCAAAGGAGACACCCCACATGTATAAAGCTCAAAAAAAAAAAGAAAAACTGAACTTCAGAATTTGGGGATCCATGCTTAGGTACTAACATTATTTTCTAAAAGGAAGGAAGGAATCACCATAAAAGTCAAGGGGATGGTTACCTCTGAGGGGAGGGAGGGAAAAATCACAGCCAAGGGGCACAGGAGAGCTTCTGGGGGCTATTCCATTTCTTGACCCACTTACATGAAAGTTTGCTTTGTGAGAAATCATGGGACTGTATTTTTGTGCGCACTTTTCTGCATAGATGTTATATTTCACAATAAAACAGTTTAAAGAAAAGTAGATCATTTGCACATATTAACATTTTGTAATCAGGAACAAATTAGTTATGACACCACTGCCCCCGTCTCACAACAACTTCCTTATCTTCTAAAAGAGCAGGCATTCCAGTGACACTGTAACTTTACCAGCTCAGCCCTCACCCACTAGGAGCACAAGGATTGATGCGAGGGATAAGGGGCCAACTGACAAGGGTCTCTTTAAACCGGGTGAGCCAGAAAACCCTCAGGAGCTGAGAAGCCTGGGGTCTCTGGACCACGTTTCCTCATCTGAAGCACAGTCCCAGTACCCAGCTCCTGGAGTGATTGTGATGATTGAGTGAATGAAGGATGAACTTATCACACATATGAAGTGGTTTACAAGTGTTAGCCTTATTAAACTTCATGCCAGATTTAGTTTACAAGAGGATATTTCAGGTCTAGGAAGATTCTCCCCTCGAGGGACACTGAATATCCATCAATCACCCATCAGTAACGGGTATTCCTAACTTTAGAGAAAACCAAAAGTTTAGCCAGTAATTAAAACACTACAATCATTCATTCTTCTCCTGAGGGTTTCCTGGCACTCCCTTTTTACATTAAGGATAGGCACAGGACTTCCTCTGTGTTAGAAAAACAGCCCTGACCTGGCATCCAGAGAGCCAGCCTACAAACGCAGGAGGAGAAAGAAACACCAAATTTTCTTTCCCCAGACCTTCCTCATTTTGGGGGTGGGGCTGCAGCAGAGTTCACAAAGACCACAGAACCTGAAGCTGCCCTCTGCCGCTGAGTTGGCAGTACCTCATATTACATGCAAAACTGCAACGTTCCGACACGGGCCACGGTGCTGAGAAGCCAAAACTGTGCTCCAGCTGCCCTTTGGTCTGCAAGAAATGCCAGGCTGGATGCTCTGGCAGGAAAAGTTGTCATTGTGTTTGAGTCTTGCTCCCAAGGAGGCAAGGATCTGGGCTGTCCCAGGCTTCCTTCAGCACACGAAGAGTTAACCATGGCCACTCGACAGTCCTCAGTTTCCTTCACAGAGACAGAGGTTGTGTTCATTCCCCCCCACCCCAGACCCTGTCTCCCAGCACACTTATTCTATGGAGACTGTGTACTAATCTCCTAAATCCAAAAGCAGTCCGAGGCTACTATTTGGAGAGTGGTAGCTCTCCTGCAAAACTGCATGGAGAAAGGGCTGAGCAGGGAAGGACCAGAGTCTAGAGACCTTGGCACCCAAGCCCTGCCTTTTGCACAGGCCAGTTCCTAAGCCTCTCTCACCCTGAGTGTCCTCTTCTGTAAAAATGTCTGCATTGCTTTCTAACACAGCTATTGCAAGGATCAACCTATAGTTTCGATCACTTATTTTGTGCCCAGTATGTGCCATGGTGTGGAAAGCATATTATTTCTAATATCTCTTTTAATCTGCACAGCATTCCTAGGAGGAAAGGTCGTCTAAGTATTCCCCTTTTTCGGATGGGGAAACTGAGGCAAAGAGTGGTGAAATTCATTGTCCAATGGCACCTAACACAGCCACAATTCAAGCCCAGGAAGCCTGAACACACTTTAACTCAAAACTGTTTTAACTCAGACTCCACTAGTCATGCAACCGCCTCTGGGTCCTGGCGGGGAAAGTGAGACCTGGGAACAGAAGGTGCCAGATCCCCTGGTCCCCAGTCCATAGCTCTTCCCATCACACATGGAGCTACTGCCCACGATGGATGGGACTCTCCAGGTAACTCAGGGCTAAGTTAGGCATCAGGGCAATTCAGTCCCGTTATTTCTTGCGCGGCAAAGCACCAGGTGTCTCAGCTGGCAGTCGTGCTTCCGCACCTGTGTACAGAGAGGGCACCAGCTCTGCCCTTACAATGAGCCAGCCAGCACGCGCGACCTGAGCGCGGGCCCTGGGTGAGCTGGAGCTAACTGTCCCCGCGGAACCGCTGGCGCTGTCACTGGGCTTCCAAAGTCCCCCTCTGCCCAAGATTGGAAGGGCTGCGCCTAGCTCAGACACCTCGGGTGCCCGGACAGCGCTCCACCCGCTCCGGCCGCCCAGAGACTCCCATTCGCCTCTCGAACCCCCGGCAGCGCCCGGGGAAGCCGTGGCAGAACCACCAGTGCGCACCGAGAGGCGAGGACTCCCTTTTATGTCCAGGAATGAGGCGCGCACCGCAGCCGCGCCCGCAGCCAAAACCAACTTCCCCCGGGTGCGGAGGTAGCCGGTGCCACCCTCGGGCCGGGCTGCTTACCTGTCGCGGAGCGGGTCCGGGTGACAGCGGGGAGAAGCACGGAGATGGAAAGCAGCCACAGCAGGCGCCAACACTGCGTGTCCCTCCTGCGAGAAGTGGCGGAGAGAGAGAAAGTGAGGCGGCCGGGAGGGGCCGGGGGGAGCCGGGGCGCGGGGCAGCGAGTCCTACCTTTGCGCCATCCCGCAGTTCCGCGAGCCTCCGAGGGCACCGGGCCACCGAGCTCTAAGGACGGCGACGGGCTCTGCGCGCGGGCCGCTCGCCCTTCCTGCCGGGAACAAAGGCGGCGCTGGGCAGGGGCAGCGGCAACGGCAGCGGTGGGCAGGATCCGGCCCGCGCCCTGAGTCACCCGCGCTCTGAAACCCGACTCTGCCGCGCCCTGCGGTCCCCCGTGCGCCGCGCCGCGCCCCACCTCGGGCAGTGCCGCAGCGGCGCACTCACGTCCCGTGGCTCTTGGCCGCGCTGACCACCTCCCCACGCCACTCACCCCCTCGACAGATGCGCGCCCCCCAGCCGTGGCTTCCACCCGGGTGGCCTTGTGTAACCGAGAAAAGCCCCGCGCCCGCGCTCTTGTGGGTCAGAGGGCAGCTCCCTCCGGCCCTCACGTCTGTGCCTGTCCGGGCTGCTTCGCAGACAAAGCACTCTCTTTACGGGCCAATGAAATCCTCTCACCAGCCCAGAAAGGATGGAATCGCTCTGATTTCCCTAAATGACAACGAAGAAACTGAGGCTCAGAGAGAGGCAGTGAATGTCCCAAATTCACACAGCTGGATTGGGCTCCTGACTGCTGTGCCTCGCCCTGCACGCTTGACACACAACCCCCTTGAATGCCCAGGAATGGCCCCCTTGGGGCGGCATAAGTGATTCATGTAAATAAACGCAGCAAAGAGAACCCTAATAAAAATTTTAAATTTATCTACTATTGCAAGGTTTTCCTCTTTATACCTTGCCGGCACCACCATCCTCCACCACCAGAATGTAAGCTCCAGAAGGGCAAGAATTTATATTTGTTTTGTTCTCTTCTAAAATAGTACCTGGCAGTAGGAGATGCCAATAAACAGGGGACGAATGAAGGAACACAATTCTTAGGTGAGATACCACTCCAGGCACTGTGATGATCGGGGACAGAAGAACCAGCCTCAGCCTACAGAAGCACACATGGGTAGTGTGCATGGTTGGCGGGGAGGGAGCAGAGGGCAGACTATTCCACCTCTACAGATCTTAGCACAGGGCCTGGCACTGGCTAAACCCTCAAATGGTGGCTTTTTTTTTTTTTTTTGCGATACGCGGGCCTCTCACTGTTGTGGCCTTTTCCGTTGCGGAGCACAGGCTCCGGACGCGCAGGCTCAGCGGCCATGGCTCACGGGCCTAGCCGCTCCGCGGCATGTGGGATCTTCCCGGACTGGGGCACGAACCCGTGTCCCCTGCATCGGCAGGCGGACTCTCAACCACTGCGCCACCAGGGAAGCCCGGTGGCTTTTTATTATTGTGATTACCACCAGGCCCAGTAGTGTAAGGTATCTGGGGGAGATGAGGCACCACTGAGATCAGCTGAGACCTGGAGAGCTCTGAAGCCAGGCAGGCCCAGGGGCGTCTCTTCCTGGTGCACCAATAGCCACAGTGGGCTGTGACTCTGTGGTCAGTTCCTGGTTTTCCTTTCTAGATGGCAAGTCACCACCTGCAGAGATGGGATGGGGATGGACATCGTAGCTAACATTTATTGAGTGCTGATTGTGTCCTGGCCCTGTGCTAAATGCTTTACTCATGACAATCAATTCCCGCAACAGCCCTGGATAGGTGATACTTCAATGATCCTTATTTCATAGATGAGGAAGCTGAGGTTTAAAATGTGCCCAAGCTAGTGCATGACAGGTACCAACACCCATGCTCTTCACCACTCCATCACACTACCTGTCTGTGAACAAGAGGATTACACCCATTTCCCCACCCTTGAAAGCAAAATTGCACTGGAGATAATGGTGCACTCATGCATGAAGGGGTTAATGCCAGCATGGGCAGTGAGGGCTCCAGCGGGAGCTCTGGCCTGGGGTCAGGAGCCTGGATTCCAGTCCAGTTCTGGCCCTAGCTACAGAGTGAAGTTGGGCAAATCCTTGTGTGACTTTTTATTTCTTCATCTATAAAATGGACGTAATGATCCTGCTGTGGGTGGGTGGCTGGAATGTCGATGAAATCACTTGGATGCCACAGTGCTCTGTCCACTGTAAAGTGCTGTACAGATGTGAGGGGTCAGCTCTGGGATTAATGCACACAGTCTTCAAAAAAGAAAGAAAAACCAGCATGGTCTGGAGAAGGCAGGAGAGGCTTCAGCCTGGTAGTGAAGTTAACCCAGACTCTGGGGTCTATGGAGGGTTTGCAGGGGGTAGAGGGGGTGCAAATAGGAGGGAGGGGAAAAGCAGCCAATGCAGCTCTAGAGCTAGGATGGCCCCCCATGAAGCTAACACAAAAGGCAAAGTGCATTCTAACAAAACGGTTAGGCTTCTTTCTTATTCTGTGAATATGAATTCTTCTCCCACTTGCAGCCATGCTGTGCTGGACATACCTTATTTTATTATGAATTACTAACCATAAGGAATTTGCCTTATTAGTTCTATATCTTTTATTGCTTATAAAGTACCACATCGACTGGGAATGTAACTGATTTTCTTAGAACTATAGGAGATAGGTATACGTATAGCTGATTCACTTTGTTATACAGCAGAAACTAACACACAATTGTAAAGCAATTACACTCCAATAAAGATGTTAAAAAAAAAAGAACTAGAATTCTATATTGCTTCGAAAGAGCCACATCAACTATGATTATATAATAGTTCTATTGTTCTATTTGATGCTCAAAACCAAAGGTTGTGAACTGGTGGCAGTGGGCTCAATTTGTCCCACAGGTATGTTTTGTCCAGCCTGCCTGGTGTCAACCTCCAAATTAAATTAGTTAGCAATATATTTGATAATTAGTTGATTTTACATTAAAATCCAGAATTCTGGCTTCTTTTTAAATTTTTGGAAAACCTGGCAACATGGGGCTTGCATTCCCTGTGCCAGTGATTGATTTGCATGAAAAGTGAGTGGCTGCCTTCAGTCAAGGCCATGTTCTCCAGTTTGCCATGATCCCTACCATCCCTATTGTTCCCCAACACCAAGTCTAAGAATCATTTGCCATTTCTCATCACATATGCACTCTGCCTTTTCTTATAAGAAAGAGAAAAGTGGAAGAGATTGAGCATTCATATCTCAGGTAGAAATGGGGGGAAAACATAAATAGATAGAGAAGGGGAGCATGTTTCAAGAAAGATGTGGAAGAACATATTTCTACACGTTTAATATACAAATTAAGAATACCCACATTGAAAAAATGAAAACTAAAATGCCATGATGAAAAAACCTGGTCCCCCTCAGTTATGCATGTTACCTGATGGATGAAAGGATAGCTGTATTTTGATTGGTGGGCTTGACTGTGGTCCAATTTATCAGTCCAAGATACATATGCATAAAGCAGCAGTTTCCTTTATTATTCTGACAGGGAAGTCGTTTGTGCACATTTCATGGTTTGTTGGTTCTGTGTAAGTATCTGATAATATCTAATTCACTAGAATCTAAAGATATAAGTCCCCATAGCACATTTCTTTCCTACAAATGACTGGAAATGGATGCATGTTAATATTGTTAATTTTGTACCTATTTCACCTGGGAAGCCAGACCATGTTCCTAGGTAATCAGGGCTCTCATTTTTAAAGTTGGGCCTGGAGGTGGGAACTGTGAACTCAGACTGATGGAGGACAGGGAGGGCATCCGGCCTGGGAGCTGAAGGGGGACCAAATGGTCCCAGCTGCCGGTGTGGGAGGGATGGGGGCAGGATGCCAAACAAGACGTTTCGCCTCCTGCCAGACTGTGTTTTGAGGGTTTAAGCGATTTCCTTCTATTCAATATGAAGTTGTAGAAATAGCCAAGAGGAAGTTTTGTGTCATATTGGAGCTGGTCTAAATTGTTTACCACGGCTTTAGTACAATCTGCGAGATCGGGACGTGTGGAGGTGGGGGGATCTATGTCCCAGCTCTTGAAGGACTCAACTAAATTAACGGGCTGTTCCATTTTCCTATAAACCACCCAACTGTCCCAGTAAACTCAATCTCCAAAAGCATTCTCCAGACTGTCTCAAGCAGCTGGAAGGGGCACAAAAATCAGTGAGAAGCATCCCAGGTTGTGGTTTAGGAAGAAGTTACGAAGAACATAGCGCATGTCTTTCTGAACATGTTTCCTCGAGACGTGGGGACACGTGAGGAGCTGTGGTGGGGAAGTTCACAGGAGACACTCAAAGCTTGCATCTTCATCTGGTTTCAGGAGCAGAAAAAGCAGAATAGACCTAACTAGCTGACTAGAAAAGAATTAACTGGAATATCCAGAGAAAAGGGCTGCCCTTTGGGTAAACAAGAGAAAACAATGACAGCGTAACCCCACACGTGCCTTCCACGGAGGATGCTTTTGTTCTGATGAGCACCTTGATGTGTCTGGCTATGCCAAGGAAGACCATGGGCTACTAAGAGCTGATTTGTTCTGCATGAGAGATGAATATGAAAATCTGACAATCCTAGTGGGAAGAGGACAAGAAAAAAAAGGAGGGAGGATGCCACTGCCAGTGCCCGTCCCTACCCTCTGCCTCCATCATTTATGTGCACCATAGGCAAGGTCATCCAGCTGCCAGCAACTGCTTCCCTTCACCTGAGCATTTTCTCTGGCTGCTGGAGCCTGCTCTGCCCACAGCATAGCGGACTGGAAGTGCTAGGGAATCAGTGCTGACCCCCCAGCTGCTCTCAACCAGTGGCTGACAGGATAAAAACCTGGGCTCCCTTTCCCATTTGGTGGGAACGTCTAGACACCCAGAGTCCCCATCCCCGTCACAGCCCCTTGCCCCTTACCCACACTGAGCACTTCTCCCTTCCTGCCCAGGGCCTCCCTGCAGATGCTGACCTCTGACACACTGCCTAATCCACTCAGCCCGAGCAACCTGGAAGTGCAGGAGAAATAACACCACACAAAGCAAATATTTAGCCAATGGAAGCCAGCAAATACATTTCTCTCCTTTCTTCAACCAGATGCACTGTCCTGAGAAAGTCATTTATACGCCATCTGAGAGATGCTCTCACAAGACCGAGTGATCAATCATCTAATGCCTCTCATTGGCTCTTCCTCCTTCCCTGCCTCACTTCTCTTTTCTTCACTTCTGCTCCCTAGGATTTTACTCCCTAATACCAAAGAGGCACCTAAGACTAACACCTGAGTGACCCAGGATAAGCTAGGTGGTGGAGTTTATCTCTCACACTCATGATCTTAACAGGGTTCCTAGAGTGGTTGTCACGTCCATCTCACCAGGTCCCATTAGCATGATGTTACCAAATAGGGGACCAGCATTATGATCTGTGTCATATTAGGATGACAAGGCCCCTATGGACTATAGTATAACAGAGAACAGGAGAGTTAACATAGCCCTGGAGCCAAAAAATGAACCTGGACTATTCTCCTTGCCATATGAAAGCAAATTGCTTTTGATTTCCCCCCGCATAGAGGCTGTGACTGCATTTGCCAGACCATAGTGCATCCCAAGTGTCAAAGGTTGTATTGATATATTCCAGTAGCTACCACATCTGACATGGCAGCTTCAATTGAGGCTACCATCTGGCCAAGTTTATAGCAATCCACTATTATCCACCACAATCCATTTGGTTTTTTCAAAGGCCATTCAGGAGAATTCGTGGAAATACAATGGGACCCACTACCCCTGCACCATGTAACTGTTAACAGTAGCTCTAAACTCTGCAATACTTGCTGGGATGTGGTATTGCTTCTGATTTACTCTAGGAGGTAGAAAAAGGAAGGTAG